CCCACTTTTTTTTTTTTTTTTTTTTTTTGCGGTACACGGACCTCTAGCTGTTGTGGCCTCTCCCGTTGCGGAGCACAGGCTCCAGACGCGCAGGCTCAGCGGCCATGGCTCACGGGCCCAGCCGCTCCGCGGCATGTGGGATCCTCCCGGACCGGGGCATGAACCCGTGTCCCCTGCATCGGCAGGCGGACTCTCAACACCTGCCCCACCAGGGAAGCCCCTATTTTCACCCCACTTTTCAGATGAGGAAACTAGAGGCCAGAGGAATTATAAGACGTGCCTGAGGTCACAAAGAAGAACACAAACTCCAACCCAGCCATGTGGGGAAGATTGTACTTTTCTCCCTGGAGAGTTGCTTGGGAGAATTAAAATGCTAGAATACGCAACAGGGCTTGACATACAGGTGTGTTCAGTGAAGAATGGCTATTATTGTCATTCAAAAAGATAACCACCTATTTGAGAAACAGTTGACCCAGAACTGCACATGAAGCCTTTTGCTCACTCATTAAGAATGATCACTCCAGGGACTCCAGTGCTCCCAGGAGCTCTATCACACCTTGTCTAAGGAGAGGAGATTTGGGATCTGAGCCTTAAGAATAAACAGCTCACTTAGCAGGCGGGGCCCGTGAGAGGATGCACCAGGCAGAGCGAGCAACATTGGCAAAAGCCTACGAGGTGCAAAAGTGTGTGTGGTTGAAGTAGAGCGGGGTGGGAGCTGCTGGGTGTTATTCAGATGCTTGTTGCCAGGGGACTTCCCCTGCCCCTCGTCCTCCTTCAGCCTCTTCAAAAACCGGACCTCACGCGCCACCTGGTGGCGTCCTCTGATGCTAACAGGGCAGAACCTACCAACGGGAGTAAAAGCTGCCCACACCCCTGTCCCCTGTCCCTTCCTGTCCCTTTCCCCGGAAATGGACTTGCTATAAAAGTGACAGAACAACAATCAAGAAACATTTTTAATTTAAAAATTACATTTTTCCAGTTATCAAAACAATGCATGGTCACTGTAGAAAATTGGGAAAATGCAGAAAAGTTTAAAGGAAAATAGTCTCTCTCAATTCCATCACCCAGAGTAACCACTATTAATATACTGGCATATTTGAACCCAGAGATTTTCTCTGCATGTAATTTTCATGTAATCCACATATGCTGAGAATTAGTGTGTACATATATTTAGGTATAAATACATATACATATATATGGACTCAGTTATGTTTAAACATACGTGGCTTATTTCTGTGAACAAAGGGCTTGGTGTGAGGGGTAGTGTGGGTGTTGGGAGCTGGGTGCTAGTGTCAGATCACCCTGAGTCTGAATCCTGTCTTTGCCTTTACAAACTGTGCGACTCCAGCAAGTGACTTCTCTTCTCTGAGCGGCGATTTCCTTCACCATCTGTAAAGTGTGGCGAATAACGGGATTTATCCCAGGGCCGCTGAGAAGCTTAAATGACACAACGTATGCAAAATGCTTAGTACAGTGCCTGGGACAGAGAGGTTTCTGACTGATATTAGGTTACCACGGAAAGCTTAGTCTGCCTTTCTGATCGTAGCAGAAACCTCTAGAAATGGGATGAATTTCCGGGTCCAAAGGTAGGAAGAGCCTCCAGGTCGATACAGTTTGCCAAAACCAAGAGGGAAAATTTCAACCAAGATCGCATGTCTCCAGCACCACAGCTGTTCTCATTTGTCTCTATCTTCTTCCAGGTCCTGTTTATGCAGAACAGTCTTTAAGCGTTGTGATTACGATGCTTGCACCAGTTCGCTAATGTTATATCACCAGGATACTGTTTATCCTAAGCGGCTAAAGCTGTCATTGACATTTGCTATAATTTGCATATGTATTTTCTTATTATTGAATATCTGAGTTTAATTTTTAATTCGTTCATTCATTCATTCATTCGCTTGCTCATTTATTCATTCGTTTGTTTGTTTATTCATCATTAGCAAATTCATTCATTTAAGAAATGGTTATTGAATGCCTACTGTCTACCAGGCACTGACTGGGTGTTGGGATATGGTCAACTAGAACAGGACACTCCTTACTTTTGGCACTTGGACTCTGGTGAGACAGACCGTTATAAGTAAACAAACAAGTAAAACTCTGACTATAAGCTGTGGTGAGTGTGTGAAGGAAAAGGAGAGACCTACTTCTTTATACATTTGTGTATTTTGGGAGGTGGTCCTGGTCCCTGATTCTCACCTGCTCTTTGCTCCGCAACAGCCGTAACTAAGCTCCCCTGTGAGGAGTCCCATGTGGGGTTGGATTTTCCACACGTTAGAATTTCCTGAGAAGTCAGAGGTCAGCACAGCATTCGAAGACCTGACAGGGAGCTCCAATGGGCCTCGCCTCCTGCTCACCCTTCCTCTAAGGCTTGTGTTTCCACCGGTCTAGTCTGCTAGAAAAGCCTATGATTATCCCCCCTTTTTTACAGGACTAATAAATTTTATTTTTTTCTTCCAGTTTTACTGAGATATAATTTACATAAGCCGTGTATAAGTTTAAGGTGTGTACAACGTAATGATCCGATTTACATACACCACAAAGTGTTGATCACAGTAAGTTTACTGAACGTCCATCACCCTATATAGGTACAAAATTAAAGAAATAGAAAAAAATTTTTTTCTTGTGATGAGAACTCAGGATTTACCCTCTTAACAACTTTCATATATAACATACAGCGGTGTTAATTATATGTGTCACGTTCAACGTTACATCCGTAGTACTTATTTATCTTATAACTGGAAGTTTGTTATCTTTTGACTGCCTTCATCCAATTTCCCCTCCGCCAAACCCTTTACCTTTCCCCTCGTCCCACCTCTGGTAACCACGAATCTGTCCTCTTTTTCTATGAATTTGTTTGTTTGTTTTTGAAATATAATTGAATTACAACACTATGTTAGTTCCTGGTACACAACTTAGTGGTTTGATATTTCTATACATTTCAAGCTGATCACCATAATTTATCCCCTTCTTAAATTTACTTGTACTGTACCTTTTCCTCACCTCCCTCTCAGTACAGGGCTTCCTTCAGCCCTGGGAGCCTTTGAACCAATCAGCAAAGGTGCTCCTTTCTGGTGGACAAAGCCTCAATGGGTGAGGCTAGGCAGGCAGAGTACAAGTTGGATTTCAGCCCCTTTCAGGCCCCATGGGTCAACTGCATGACTGTACACGCTGCCGTGCCCACAGCCTCTGGAATGACCACCCCACCTACTTTCTTTCTTTTTTTAAAAAAATAAATTTATTTATTTATTTTTGGCTGCGTCGGGTTTTTGTTGCTGCACGCAGGCTTTCTCTAGTTGTGGCGAGTGGGGGCTACTCTTCGTTGCGGTGCGCGGGCTTCTCATTGCGGTGGCTTCTCTTGTTGCGGAGCACTGGCTCTAGGCGCACGGGCTTCAGTAGCTGTGGAGCACAGGCTCCACAGTTGTGGCTCGCAGGCTCTAAAGAGCAGGCTCAGTAGCTGTGGCGCATGGGCTTAGTTGCTCCGCGGCATGTGGGATCTTCCCGGACCAGGGCTCAAACCCATGTCCCCTGCATTGGCAGGCAGATTCTTAACCACTGAGCCATCAGGGAAGTTCCCCCACCTACTTTCTATCTAGCTGATTCTTACTCCATCTTGAAGACTCAGTTTATATTCTATCTCTTATATGAAGTTTTATCTAGCTTTATAATTTACAGTAAATCCTCCATTCGTGGAACTCCTAATTTTTCTTCTTACTCTTTGCCTCATTTGACACTTAACTGCATACTGCCTTGTGATTCCTCTCGTTTTCCTCTCTTGTATCATTAGTTCATCTGCAGAGTGTGGCAAAGTTCACCACTGTGGGCTGTCACAGCTACTGTCCTCAGTGTGGGGTGCTCTATCCTCCCACCCCCATTCCCCAAAAGAACAAATATGGTTCCCTAAGGTGATAAGGGAAAGCCCTCTCCTTGGGTTGGCTTTAAAAATACATGGCAACCCAAAAGAATGGAGAGCGGGGACTCAAATAGGTATTTGTGTGCTCATGTTCATAGCAGCATCATTCGCAATAGCCAACAGGTGGAAACAACCCAAATGTCCATTGTCAGATGAACTGATACAATGTGGTCCATTCACACCATGGAACGCTATTCTGCCCTACAAAGGAATGAAATTCTGATAATGCTACAACATGGATGAACCATGAAGGCATTAGGCTGAGTGAATAAGCTAGACACAAAGGGACAAATATTGTATGATTCCACTTCTATGAGGTAATAATCCAATTCATATAGACAGAAAGGAGAACGGGTAGTTCACGGGCTGGGGGAGGGCGGACGGGAGTTAAGAGTTTAATGGGTACAGTTTCAGTTTGAGAAGATGGAAAAGTTCAGGAGACGAATGATGGTGATGGTTGCACAACAATGCGAATGTATTAACGCCATTGAAGGCTATACCTAAAAATGGTTAAAATGATACATTTTATGTTATGTGTATCTTACCATAATTTTTAAAATGACAATATGAAAAGGGTTGGTTAATGTCCTCAACCGCGAATCTGCAGGCTTCTCCACGGCCTCCCTATGCCATTGGGAGCTCCCTGAGAACAGGGAAACGTGTCTCCCCTCTCAGTCTGGGGCTCTCCCAGGACCAGAAAGGGATTTCCTCAAACGGGGAGCTAATCCTTGAGAGTTTGGACTTGTCATGTCCATCATCAGACTGAGGTGCTTCCTGATGGTGGAGCTGCCTAGAACGGGTGAGGCTGTGCCTCCTCCAACAGACCGGGAGTTATCCCAGTGAGCGTGTACGGGGTGGAGAAAGTGGGCTTCGTGTTTGAAATTGTTGCCTCTCCGGCCCAGCCCCTGGGCTCACAAGCCCTGCAAGCTCCCAACGGCTTTCTGCCCTCAAGCTCCAACCTCTCCCCTCCAAGTTCCGCGGGCTCAGAACGCCAGCGGGTCGTCCGGCTGGGCGGGCAGAGGCCGCTTCCGCCCTCTTCCAAGATGGCCGCCTCCTCTGCGACAGGCACGGTCACGTGAGCACCCTCGCCTATGAGGTAGCCGGGGCTGGGTCGGCGATTGTCCCTTCCCGCGCCCCGTCCCGAGTCGGCGACTGCCCTTGTCAACCGGAGCCTGAGAAATCATGGCAACTGGCTCGGGCTGGGAGCGAGTGGCAGCTGCGGCAGCGGCGGCAGTTTGGTCGCGGGCCGGGGCGGCGGAGCGGCGGCGGCGGCGGCGGCAGCAGCACTGGCGCTGGCACCGGCCCTGAGCACCATGCTGCGAGGCAGACCCGAGAGAGAGCTGGCGGCCTGGTGGGAGGCGGAGGCCGTGGCCGCGGCCAAAGCGCATGCGGCGAAGGAACAGGTCCGCTTGGACCCGGGCGCAGCCGGGGAGCCGGAGCGCAAGGCGGGGGAGGAGCAGCCCAAGGAACCGACCCCGGCGCAGCCCCGCGCGGCCGAGGAGGGCGACGCCCGCGCCCCACCGCGGCCGCCGTCCACGCTGCCCATGTACCAGGCGAAGCCGGTGTCGGCGCAGGGCCTCTACCCGCACGGGAAGTCCAGGAGCAAGAACCGTAGCTGCAAGCGGAGCTCGGACCGGTCCGAGGAGTACTGCTCTCCGCGGCCTGTCACCGTGGACAGCTCCAAGGCCAGGACCTCCCTGGACGCCCTGAAGATAAGCATTCGCCAGCTCAAGTGGAAGGAGGTGAGGCCCGGCCCGGCCGCGTGGGCACAGGGGGGTGGACTGGACGACCTCAGAGGAGACGGACGGCCCAGGCCAGGTCTGAGGGCCGAGCTCCTGCTGTGCGCCACGCTTGTCAGCCGCAAACTGCTCATCCTTCAAAGCCTAGCCCCCAAGTCATTTCCTCAAGACGGCTTTAGACCCCTGCAGGTCAAGTTAGCCACTCCCTCCTCTAGCGCCCCTGCAGCTCCGCTCCAGCTCCATGGTCTCCAGCCATCAGCGCTGGCCTTCCCACATGGTAGATATTTGTTTATATGTCTGCTCCCTCCACCAGTTTTTGAGTCCCCGGAGGCCTGGATCCTCTCTCTGTCTTTCACTTCTTCCTTAAGTTATATTTGTTTAGCATTTACTGGGTGACCCTTGGGGCGGTTGAACCGTTTGTACTTTGGAGGCAGGCAGACTAGGGTCTCAGCACCCTGCCACTTAGCTCTGTGACCTTGAGCAAGTTGCTTCACCTCTTCAGCCTATTTTCTTCTCTGTAAAGTGAGGCTAATAAAACCTATCTCATAGTTTTCTTAGTATTAGAAGACTCGCCGCTTATTGTAGTATAGCCCAAGTGTGCAATAAATGGTAACTAACCTTACCACTACTCCTTTCTCTCTTCCACCATCACTATCACCATCACATCACCATTAGCATCATTGTCATCAGTGTAGGCACTGTGTTTTATGTTTCAAGGCTTGGCTTATAGCAGGTGTCAGGAAGTGGTGGGTGAAAGGGTGAATGAAGGAGTGGGTTATTTGTCCCTGAACTCATTTTAGACCCGGTGGGGGCTGGGATGAAGCACCAGTGACATCCAGAGATATCTGTTGCAGTTGGCGGAGTGGATAAAGCCATTTGACTTCATTTGCAGCACCTAAGGTTATTTAATGTGCTTTTGGGAGTGTCAGGATTGTGGTTTGGGGTAGTCGAATCTGGAGGCTTGGACCCAGATGGTCTGCTGATGGTATAGGATCTGTAGCAGGCAACATGAGGACGCAGGTCCTTAGCCCTGGGTCTTAGTTATAGTAGAAGTTCAGGAATGGTTTAATGAAGTTGGAACATGCAGAGAGGTGGCCACAGAAAGGATTGATGAGGTCAGAGGGTTGATATCGCAACAGAAGGGGTCGTGTGGTTTGGAGGGCAGTCAAGAATCAGGCAGGGCAGACTTCCAAGTAGGGAGGTGTTAGCCATTGCGAAGTCTGATTCCAGGGGTCAGGGCCCCCCAGCCTTGGGGCTTGGGGTTCAGGGGAGGACTTTGATGCCTATGAAACCTGGAGAAAGTGAGGGAGGCTCCCAGTACTAGGTGTCTGGGTTTCGGGACAGGGTCCCAGGTCCAGACCAGAGATATGAGCACCAGAACAATATAAACCTGGAGAGCCTGTCAGTACTATAGTCCTAATGAAGGGAGGATCCAGGAACTGAGACCAGGCCACAGAATTAAAGAAGGCTGATTGGCCCAAGCCTGTGCTTAGCTTAGCCCTGGGGAGGAGAAAGACGCAAAACTGGCCAGATCTCAAGTGATGGAGCCACACGGACTCAGAAATCAGCAATCACACGTGCTGGGCCAACTTCATTCACTCATTCCGTAAGTGTCCATAGTGTCCACTGTGGATACTGGGCCCTGCGAATCAAAGATGCTTAAGATGTAACCCTTGCCTTCAAGGACCTCCAGGTTCAGTAGGAGGTAAGACACAAGTAAAGAAATCATTGCAGTAGTTACAGGGCCTTTGCTACTGCTTCTTGAAATGCTCTTTTCCCAGCTGTTGGCATGGCTTACTCTGTTACTTCAGATCGCTGATCAAATGCCACTTCCTTGAAGAGGCCTTCCCCCAATATCCCTCCACTCGTCTTTATTTTTTTTTTCATAGCACTGAACTCTAGTGACATTATATTTTGTATTGTTTATTGTCTGTTTCCCTCAGTAGAATGTAAGCTCCATGAGGGCAGGGGCCTTTATTTTATTTACTGCCATATCCTCAGGTGCTCGGCACATAGAGGTGTTGATTGGATGAACACCTCATGGAATGAGCGTTTCTCTCTCTTTGTAAAGGCATACATGCTATAGGAGATAGAGGGGGGCCATGTCAGGGCCAGGTGCTGGAGGAGAGAGCCCTGAGCTGAGTTCTGAGTGCTGAGAATGAGTTGGCATTATTTAGGGGTCGTCGACTTTGGCTCCCTGGCCGAGGGAGTGGGATGGACCAAGCAGAGGTGCATTTGGGGCTTCACAGGTAGTTCAGTAGGGCCGAGTCATAGAGTGGGGGGCAGAATGGTGAGAGAGGGGGCAGGAGGGGTGAGCAGGGGTCAGATCATGTGCTACACTGTGGAATGTGGATTTTTTTGGAAGCCTACATGAGCCACTACAGAATCTTAAGCGTCTTCTGTTTATCTGCTGTGCTACTTTGGCAAGTGAGTTAAATTCTTTAGGCCTCAGTATGCCTGTCTGTCAAATGGGGTTGGGTCGCTGGTTCCCAGTCTCCTTACCGCTGTAGCCACATAATGGTAATGTGAGTCTGTGTGTGGCCCTTGCACAGGTGAACCCGGTGGGGTGAGCAGTTTACAGGGCGCTACCTGTAACTGCCTCCTCCAGCCCCAGTCCTGCATGTTCTGCTCAGAAAGCATGTTGGCATGTAAGTGGAGATGCTCATTCTAGTATATTTTAAAACATAATTCACTCACAACAAGACTTTACTATTAGACATGTAATTATTTACATAGTCACGCTTCCCTATTCGTCTGTGAGGTCCCGAGGACAGGAGTGTTGTCTGACTTGTGTCCCTGATGCCCAGCAGATGGCGGGTGATCCATAAATGAATGAATAAATGACTTGCAACAGAGCTCACATCTCATCTTGACACCATAGAATGTGGAGTTTGAAAAGTGCCAGACTGGGTAAACTTTGAAGTTCCTTCCAGCTTTAAACAATGGTCATGGTATTCTTAGTACCTACCACAAAATTGGCTGCATGACAATTAACATATATGTAAACTGGGTACTAACAAAATGTAAGCACAGCCTCCCCAGGCCTCAGTTTCCCCATCTGTTACAGGGGTGCTGTTGGAAAAGGTCACCTCTAGCGCTCAGCACTGATATTCTAGGAGCAGGAAGTCTGCTAGGGGCTGGGTTGCAAGGAACTGAGCTGCAGTGTCCCTTGTATGTCATGCTGTGCTGTCACTGCAGGATTTGGGAGTCCCTAGCTGGCTGGCTTTGGCAGGGGTTGGGCAGCAGCCCAGGCAAGAAATAAGGTTACGAGCACCAACCAGTGTGAAAGCTCTGTGTCTCCTTTTGCGAGTGAGTGGTGAGGGGCTCCACCATCGGGCTATTCAGCAGGACAGCGCTGAGCCAGCGTGGGAGTTCAGACGTTTGCTCAGCTGCAGGGCACAATCTCCCTTCTTTCTGCACTTTTCTCTTTTCTGCACACACTTAATGACAGTAACGATAACAGTGATACTGAACAGCAACTGTGATGAAGCCTTCCACAGCTCTTCCCCCGTGCCAGGCACTCTTCTAAGTGCTTTACATTATAGCCAAGGAGTTGATTCTCCCAACAACCAATAAAGTAAATGCCCTTTTGTCTCCATTTTACGCAGGAGGAAATCGAAGTACACAGAAGTTAACGTATTCAAGGTCCGACAGCTGGTAAGGGGCAGAGCTAGCATTTGAAACAGGTTTCCACTTGAAACCAGCCTCCCATTCTGTGCCCTTCCCACTGCTCCCCGCTGGCTGATACTGGCGGACCCTGGGTCAAGGGTGGCATAGACATGACAAGTCCCTCCTTGCCCTCCAGGGATAGACATGCATACAGAAGATTGCAGTCCAGCCTGGGAGTTGAGTGGGTAAATGGCATTCCATACAGAATAGGAGCAAAGGCAGGGAGACCCGGTTTTATATGCAGGATGGGGTGATGGTGGCTTAGAGAGTGTGTGGAGAGCAGAGAGAGATGAAGAAGGAGCCAGGTTGGAGGACGTCGAAGGCCATGCTGAGAGGCTTGCACTTCTGGCTGAATATAATCTCAGATTCTTGCCATATATAGACCGAGCTTCCCTTGCCCACTCTGTCAGTCTCAAGGGCCCCATACCAACTCTCTGAAATGATTCAGTTGTCAGTTGTAACTCCAGTCAGGTCTAATGCAATGGTGCCCACCATGCTAAATTTGTTTCTCAAAGGACAGTTCACAAATGTTAGCTCTGTAAACTTGTAGGTAAGACGAAAGTTTATTCTAGAAGAGCAAAATCATGTTTACAGAGTCACCGTGAAGTTGCAACGTGAAGAGGGATGGTTCCTGGCTCATAGTAGATGTTCAATAAATATGTACGGAATTGTATGGTCCTCTTCCAATCGTGTGAGCCTCTCTCCCCCTCTCCTGTATATTCTTTTTGCAGTTCTGACACCCTCATTAGAGAAAACCTTAGGGAAAAGACACCATGGAGGATAGATGCCACTGTTGTTGTGAGCTGCCCTCCTTGGAGATGTCGGTTGTGTATTTGTGCGCAGTGGTACCATGGACACCAGCTGACGTGAACGAGGGCACTGAGAGATTTGATAGAGGGACCTTTGTTGATAACAGTTGGCATAAGCCCCATCCCAAGATCTATTACAGTGTGAACTCTTTGTCTGAGAGTGTCCAGATCAAGTGCTGTTTTCTGAAATGTATCCAGCCTTTCTTCAGAACGTATATATATACTTATGCTATCATCCTATTTATAACTTGTACTATGTTAGTTACTGTTTATGAAATACCGTATTATGTGCTAGGCATCGTTCTACGTGCTTTATACTCATTAAAACTTGTGTAAAATGTTTATTATGGATTATTTTATTTAATCCTCGCAGCAACCCTCTGAAGTGGATCCCCTTATCATTTCCAATTTACAGATGAGGAAACTGAGATTGAGAGGAGGTTAGTTCAGGGGTGAGCCCAAGTTCACACAGGTAACAAGGGGCCGAGCCATCCAGGGCCTGTGCTTGTAGCCAGTATGCAATCC